GCCTGCTGCTGTGAGCCCACCTGTTGTGAGCCTACCTGTTGAAAACCTCCTTCTAATAGGAATCCTGAGAAGATGGCCCCTCACCACTAACCAATGTAGAATCCCAACAAACTTCTGAATTTGGATAGCAATAGCCCAGCTTGCAGCCTCTTGTCATACAACTACATGAATTTTCCATAAATTCATTTACAAAGAAAGATGAAAAATCTTAGATCTAGATACCAGTGATATTCCTATGATGTCTAAAGGATTGTGTTATATTTCATTATAAATATCACTTGAAATATTTCAACAGTTTATTGGAACTCAGATTTAATAAAATATTTTCATCTTTTCAATGATAACGTTGTTATTGGAACTCTCTTTCTCTTTTCCTTGGAATTTATTAAGAATAATGGGGTACTAAGATTTTTCAAAATCTCAATATGGCGTGATTTTTCCTTATTTTTGTTCTTTTAATAATGATCTTTAAAAGTGTTTTTCCCTTGTTTAGCCCTTAAAAGGTCCAATATTTTGTGGCCAAAATATATGATTAAAAGAACAAAACAGTATTTAGGAACTATTTCCCAAGGTGCTCACATGTGCAAGGTCATAGGCTGGGTCTTCCCAAAGATCAACTTTACAAAAGGGAATATCATGTAATTCAAGTCCTTGAGTTATTGTCAAATCTATTCAATCATTTATATATAGACAATTCTTTCAATCATCAAAGGTATACAATGCATTGTACAAAATGGGAAAGACAATAAACACAAGATCACAGAATAATAGCTGACCTCTTATCATATATATATATTTTTTCTCGTGGTTCTTGGCTTAAAACTCCCATACCCATTATAATAATGTTGGGGTATTTTAGGCCTCAGAAATGCAATCTCTCCCTGACTTTCTGATGCCTTTCTATTATCTCCTTTTTCTCCCCAAGGTAGAAATCTTCCCCCATCTTTCTGCCTAGGAACAGGCCATAAAGAAATTCTCTGACCTACCTTGTCTGATTGTAGGTCATAAGACGCCCACTTCAGAAGGGATCCTGCCCCATACCCTGGAGGATGGAATAGTGCATTGAGGCCCAGAAAAATCAGGCCTTGCTGGGTTCTCCCGCTCAGTCTATTAGTATTAGATCAGACCTTTTTTGTTCAATCACATTTCTACACAGTTGTCAGTCATGCCTGTCCAAGGAAGTCTCTATAAAAGGCCCAAGAAGACAGAGTCTAGAGAGCTCCCTACAGCTGAATGCATTCAGGTTCCTGGAGGGTGATGCATCCGGGGGGGTGTGGAGTGCTGAGCCCCTTCCTCCACATCTGGCCCTACACATCTCCTCTTCTATGCCCTTTGTAACATCCTTTGTAATACAAACCAAAGAGTATTAAGTATAGTAATAAGAAAATGCTATATATATACACAGTGGAATAATAGTGAGTCTTTAAAAAGAAGGAAATTCTGGGCAGCACCTCTGGCACAAAGGAGTAGGGCACCGGCCCCATATGCCAGAGGTGGTAGGTTCAAACCCAGCCCCGGCCAAAAGCTGCAAAAAAAGAAGGAGATTCTGTCATATACTATAACACGGATAAACTCGAAAGACACCATGTTAAAGGAAATAAAATAAATTTTATTTTCTTAATTTACTTAGGGGAGGTAAGGGAATGCTCACATTAGTCTTCACTTTAGAAGAGGAGTGTCATACCTTGAATTTTTGCACTGAAGATGTTGAAAACGGAGGCAGAGTAGAAAAACACAGAAATGGAGATCTGATATGCAGCACCATGCTCTCCAGTGCCTTTATTAATAATGTATTTAAAACCCTCAAATATCAGAGCTTTTTGCCAGGTAAGATAAATCTTTATAGTATCAAAGATTCTGCTGAATTTAGATATGAGTTAATAACTCCTAAGTTCATAACCATGACCAATCCACATATTTCAAGCAGCCAAGGTGGAAAAATAGCTAATCAGAGAAAACTGTGATGAAGCTTTGCTTAAAAAGAAGCAAGAAATTCACTAAGAAGCAAAGTTTTTAATTTGAATTTGATGTGGGATTTAAAAATACAGTAAAACCTCCACAGCTGACCACTTCCCTACACTGACCACCTTCTTAAGTTGACCTAATTTTCATAGACCAGACATGCACCACATGTACATATTAGTACAGTAGGCCTAGTTCCTCATGTTGACCACCTCTGTATGGTGACCAGTTTGTCACAGTCCCTTGCATGGTCAACATACAGAGATTCTACTGTATGTCTTAATTCTGACTTGGAAGTAGTTATAATCTAAACTCAAAACTCATTTCTGGAAAAGCAGAACTACTAACACTTGGGGTTCCAATTCAAAACCCATGAGCGGCATTTTAATTTCTATTTCCCTGCAATGCAGCCCACACTCCACAGAGGCCAGGTCACCTTTCATTGTATAGAAACAAAACTTTCATCTCCACCTTCTTCAATTGCCTATTCAAATCATGGAATCTTTCTAGCAAATTGGACTAGTCTCCCCTAACGTCTGCAATAAA